CATGAGCTTTCATGAGCACAGCCCACTTCTTCAGATGACTGGAGTATTGAGGTTAGGATGTGCAGACCCAAAATAAGTAGGGGAGAGGGAAGGGGGGAGGGAGGGGAAAAAAAGGAAGGAGGTGGGAAACAAGGGTGCCAAAGCTTGAGATGATGGGCCGAGATTTCCAGGTTTGTTTTCACAAACAAAGCTGGAAACCTGGAAACAAACCTGGAAATCCCCGACGGTCTATCATCTCAAGCATTGGTACACTCATAACAGGATTATCTGGCTATATCGACTCCTTCCTCAGACCCTATGCTACCAGCACTCCTAGCTACCTCTGTGACACCACTGACTTCCTGAGGAAACTTCAAAACATCAGTAATCTACCTGAAAATACCATCCTGGCCACTATGGATGTATAAGCCCTTTACAGCAACATTCCACATGAAGATGGATTACAGGCCATCAGGAACACCATCCTCGATAACAGCACTGCACACCTGATAACAGAGCTCTGTGACTGTCCTCATCCACAACTACTTCCAATTCAGAGACAATTTGTATCTCCACGTCAGCGGCACAGCCATGGGCACCCGCACAGCACAACAATATGCCAACATCTTTATGGCTGACCTTGAACAACATTTCCTCAAGCCCTCGCCCCCTAACACTCTTACTTTACTTACGCTACATCAATGACATCTTAATCATATGGACCCACGGAAAAGAGACTCTTGAAGAATTTCACAAAGACTTCAACAACTTCCACCCCACCATCAACCTCAGCCTGCACTAGTCTACACGATAAATTCACTTCCTGGATACTATAGTACAGTTAAATAATGGACACATTTCCACAACCCTATACTGAAAACCCATCAGCCACTACACTTACCTTCATGCCTCCAGCTTCCATCCCAGACACATTTCTCAATCTACTGTATACAGCCAAACCCTAAGATACAACTGGATTTGCTCCGATCCCACAGACAGAGACAAACACCTACAGGATCTTTATAGACTATTTCACCCACCTGGAGAAGTGAAAAAACAGATTGACAGAGCCAAAAAAGTACCCAGACATGAACTACTTCAAGACAGACCCAAAAGAGAAAATAACAAAATTCCACTTGTCATTACCTACACTCTACAACTCAAACCCCTCCAACGCATTATACACAATCTGCAACCCACCTTGGAAAATGATTTCTCACTCTGAGGCCTTGGGGGAAAAGCCTGTTCTCGCTTACAGACAACCCCCCAATCAGAAACAAATTCTTTCTGGTCACCATGCTACACAACCACATCATAAGCATCCAAGAACCCAGCCCTGCAATCAGCCGTGGTGCCAACTCTGCCCACATATCTATACAAGTGAATTCATCACTGCAGCCAACAACATAAGCTACCAAATCAAAGGCTCATTTAACTGCACATCCAGTAATTTGATCTATGCCATCAAATGCTGGAAATGCCTCACTGCTCTATATACTGGATAAACTGGACAGTCCCTTCGGGAAAGATATACATCAGATACACGTAAAGGGAACATATAGAAACCTGTTGGAGAACACTTCAATCTACCTAATCACTCTTTAAAAGATCTCCAGGTGGCTGTCTTGTCACAAACCAATTCTACAAGCCAAATACACAGAGAGGCGTTGGAATTACAATTCATCCACAAATTCAGTTCTCACACTGATGGCCTCCTCAATCGAGATAACGGATGGCTGGGACATTATCAGCCTAACATTCAATGAAGGTACCAACAGCTCTTTGTCTGTGTAGATTCTTGCATTAGTACCCTTCCTATCTAATTACTATCCTATGATCCTTATCTGGTTCTTTTAACTATTCAATCTTTAGGTGCTTATAGGTTACCAGTTCTGCCTACTTGTTTTTCCCTTTGATATTTTTGTACCCTCTGCTCCTTGTTTCCCGCCCCCTTCCTTTTTTTCCTTCCCCCCCCTTTTTCTTCTCCCCTATTTATTTTGGGTCTGCACATCCTAAACTCAATACTCAGTCACTTGAAGAAGTAGACTGTGCCCACAAAAGCTCATGATACCATCTACATGTTTTGTTAGTCTATAAATTGCTACCAGATCATTTGTTGCTTTTTAAGTTTAAATTATGGTTGTTAGGCATAGGGTCCCTTGGTTGGAACCTGGAATAATGGATAAGCCTGGATTTCCCGCCAGCCCCTGGAAAAATGGCCCTAGATCTGGACTTGGACTAGAAGACTGCCTGTGGGGCTTATGGATAGCTTGTCCTGGGGGACTTGGACCCTCAGAAGAAACAGACTAAATAGTGACTTTACTCCTCTGGCAGGGTCACGAAGAGGGAGCACCCCAAGTCCCAGAAAGAGAGAGAGCCCATGAAGCAAGCAACCAGTAGAAAAGGGGGCCAAACCTGATCCCCTGATCCAGTCACAAGGTGTCATAACAGTGAGTGAACGCTGTAACGGCTCATATAACATTCCCTATCAGTTTTTCTTATTTTCATTATCAGCCTAGATGAAGCTATATATGCATTACAGCAACACAACTATGAGAAAGCTGTGTTGTTAGTTTTACACTGGTGCATCTTTTGAATTATCTTATCTGAGAAATATCACTTGAAAGATATAGTATATTTAGGCTGGAATATTTCTGTTTATAGCATCATTAAAGTGACACTATATTTTGTCAATGTCTAGAGAAAATTCCAATGGAAAAATGCATGTAGAAATCTTTCCATTATGTGCTTGTGTTCAACAGCAAGATTTACTTTAAGATTTAAAACTAGCAAGTGACACAAACTGAAGAAACTATAATAGCAATATTTTTGACAAAGTAATAGTTGATCACTGTTATATCACATTGTGAATGACTAGAAGAAAATCAGATTTATCTGTTGAATGCACAAAGCAATATGGTTACTGCAGATGATATTCTCTCACTGCACCTGCTGCTATAAAATGTCTATCTGCAGTGAGGCCTTTAAAGTTAACTAGAGCATACAAGAAAAAACATCCAACTGATTTATTTTCACGGATGGTCCTACTTTCACACAAATGAGTTTAAGTATGTAAACTACATTATGGAATCCTTAAATAGTAACATATGATCTGGTTCCTGCTTTGCTCACATGCTAAGAACTGACTTGTGTGCTTTGCAGCATTATAGGCAACCTCTACATTTACGATCTAATTGGTTCCTGCAGAATTGTCGTAAGTCGAGCCATCGTAAGTTGAACCCTTTTTTCCCCATAGGTGCAATGATTAAAATGGGGGTTCCATTCCTGGCCCGCTTTGCCTCCTGGGAGTTGTAGTCTGAGGTGTGAGCTGCTCCCAGAGCCAGCAGGAAGCTGTGCTGGGAGAAGGTGGCAAGGCACAAGCTGCTCCCAGAGCCGGCTTGGGGCTGTGCCAGGTGAAGGTGGTGGCTGTAGCAAGGCAGTCGTAAATGCCGGGGGTCGTAAGTTGGGCAGTCATAAGTCGGGGGTCGCCTGTATTTAAGACTCAAGCAATCTCTGTTTTTGTTAAAGATCAAGTTCAGAAGTTAAATTGTTCTTCTTCCTTGGCCATATCGTCTTAGGCTATCTTCTGGCTATTTTCTTCTTGCAGATTTTGATCTCGATGTATAAGTGTGGATCCAGATTGATCCAAAAAAAGCTGCAGAATATCCATATTCTGGCTTTAAAAGGGGAACGTAGATTTGAGGAGTTGGCTAGCTGAGGGCAGGCTGAGTCCCAAATCCAGAAGTGACATCACTACATCATCTAGCTCCTCAGTGTTGCTATAGTAACCTTGAGGTTACTTCCGGTATATCAAAACAGCTATTCCGTGTCTTGACAGCACACACGTTATTTTAAAATATCTTTCAAAATAACGGGCACGCTATTCCGATGTCCCTGTAAACTTCATTCTACGAGGATTAAAGGACATTTTGGAACAGCGTTTATTTTGAAATCTGGCACTGTGTAGACAGAGCCAAATTATGAAATAAACTATTTCAAAATATACTTGAAATGACCTACACAATTTATGTAGCTCAAATTGCATAGCTTATTTTGAGCTAGGGATGCAGTGTAGATGCATGCATGCATAGTGATTCCTGATGACCACTCCCTAGTCAAAATTATTAGCATTGTAAGCCCCATTAAAGATATGCTGTACTTCATACTTTCATTTAACCCTGTAAACAGATGTATCTTTAAAAAGTGCAATAAAGTAATAGTGGTAATACTGGTTGAGGTGCTCTTCCAGTAAGTCACTAAATCCCTTATTTCTGGGATAAAGTAAGTACAGTAGTACATTATTTTTACATTTAAAAGTAAGTTTCCAACAAAATGTGCTAAGATATAACTTAGCCAATATCACAATATTTTCCAGGCACCAGCAGCAATCAGTATCTCAGTCAACACAGATAACTGCCATTGGTGTCAAGGTGCTTCACAGTGCCCTCAATCCATAGGGGTTGTCCTACTTTTCACATAGAGTTATAAATAAAATGTATGCTCTTCAAGACAGAGATTGTTTTAAATTGGTTTCTTATATAATGCTGACTACATGATTAATATCTAATAAAGAAATAATTAATAAATGTAATAATAATAATGAGTAATTATCATCTGAACCTAGAAGTCAATTTGAAAAAAAATATATTTGAGTATTAGGTTCTGAACATGCCCAGCATTAAATTTTAGTTATTTTTCAGTTATGATGATTTTTATGAATTTTATAAATTTCTCTTAAAGTTTCATCATTTACCTGAATGAAGAGAGTACTCGTCCCACTAGGAAGCTAAATATAACATGACAAACAAATAAAAGTAAGGCAATTCTGAGGGAAGATAATCACGCTATTGTGCCTAGCTACCTTACTGCTGCAAACATGGCCCGTTAGCTCATTCTATCAGATTTTACTGCAACACAGATACAAATGAGGCAAATTTACAAAGGAAATCACATAAAGTAATACTCAAGTTATGAGGCTGCAGCATTAAAAATGTCTCTAAAGAAAACAAAATTACTCTTACCTATTCATTAGCTCTTGAAAAGTTCCATTTGGTAACGGAAATACAAAGCCATTTATGACTGACTTTAAGTAATCCGAAGACACAAATCCACTCTGACTGACATCAAATGCTCTGAAGGCTTTTTCAATGTTCTGATAGGCAGAGTGAAGCTGAAATGGATACAATTTATAATGTTTTGTTCAGAAGAATCAAACTCATGAAGTTTTTAAAACAATAATGTATTTTTAAAAGACCTTTTCAAATGTTCTTCTCTGTAAACGGATCAAATAGGTTACCATGGCAAGCTCTGACTGTCAGATGTTTAATTAATAAGCTCACTACAAAACAGTATTTTCCAATCACAGAGAGTCAAGTGACAAGGCAGACAAGTTTCTCATAGAAAGGTAGAACATGTAATAATTCTACCTCAAAATTCTAAAATAGCTAAAAATATTGGTGGATCTGCCTGCTTGATAGATCTGTCTTAATATACTTGTAAAGACATCCCTAGTATAACTCAGTACCAAGCTCCTCTTTATTAAAATGGAGCATAATGAATGCTAAAAAAATTCTAAAAGAAACAGAATGGTTAATATTCCTGGTACATAAACATAGTGCACATTTCTTTGGTTATTATGTTCATGGACTGTTGCAAAGAAATAAGGGGAGTGTTGTTTTGCTTATGGGACTTTCTGCAATTTTCCATAAAGATAATAAAATAGCAAGTAGATTGGTCTTATTTAGGGATGTAAGCAACTAGTCAACTATCTAATAGGGCAGTTCTCCCCAGCACTGTCTCAGAGGGGGAAAGGGGAGGCAGAGAGGGTTGCAGGGACCAGGCACGAGCCAGGAGTCAGCTGATTCCCGGCTTTTACCCACTCCCAGACACTGTGCCTCTGCTTTTTAAATGCATTAAGAGCCAGTAGTCTCTTAATGCATTTAAAAAGCAGAGGAACATCGGAGGGGGAGACGCTGGCACGAGCTGGGACAGCTCATTCCAGCCTTTTAATCCAGCCTAAACGTATTAAGAGCTACTGTAGCTCCCCCCGCTTATCCACTAATCAACTAGTTAATAACAATTCCATTGGCTAGTTGATTAAACTAAATTTAACCAAAAGTTCATTCAGTATTGTTTGCTGAATAATACAAACATTCCTTGGGCTCTTCATCTCCCTTTTTTGGTGCTCTAGCCTACTTTTTTCTGCTCTATTTGCTGTTAAATGAAAACTGCAGACATCACAGGGCAGAGATAATGTATGGAAAGGCCTCAGGAAGTCCAAAATAAATATCATGGGCTGACTTCATTTATAGGGTGATGAGATGTACCCAGTCACCTACCCAAGCACTAACCCTAACCTACCCTGACCTCAGAATCAAGATCTAAAGGGAAAGGTCAGGTGGTAACCCTATACCCTTTGTGCCTGCTGATCTCCATCCTGGTAGAACTTTCCAGTCATTTCAAGGCTGAGGAAGTACAGGTAGAGGCCTGTACAGCTGGATTTGTACTAAACCACTAATTCTGGTCCATAATCCTGACCCCTCATTTTCTCTATAGCCTTCTGAGGGTATGTCTACACTACCCCGCTAGTTCGAACTAGCGGGGGTAATGTAGTCATCAGCAGTTGCAAATGAAGCCCGGGATTTGAATTTCCCGGGCTTCATTTGCATGAAGCCGGCCGGCGCCATTTTTAAATGCCGGCTAGTTTGGACTCCGTGCCGCGCGGCTACACGCGGCACGGACTAGCTAGTTTGGATTAGGCTTCCACCTACGTGGAACGAGGTGTACAGCTAGTTCGGATTAGAAGCCTAATCTGAACTAGCTAGTCCGTGCCGCGTGTAGCCGCACGGCACGGAGTCTGAACTAGCGGACATTTTAAAATGGCAGCGCCAGGCTTTATGCAAATGAAGCCCAGGAAATTCAAATCCCAGCCTTCATTTGCAACTCTGGATGCCTACATTAACACCATAGTTCGAACTAGGGTGGTAGTGTAGACATACCCTTATAGTTCTAGCCTTCACAGCCTCCTGTGGCAAGGAGTTCCACAGGTTGACTATGTGCTGTGTGAAGAAGAACTTTCGCTTATTAGTTTTAAACCTGCTGTCCATTCATTTCATTTGGTGTCGTCTAGTCCTTCTATTATGGGAACTAATGAAGAACTTTTCTTTATTCACCCTCTCTACACCACTCATGCTTGTATATATATATCCCCCCTCAGTCTCCTCTTTTCTAAGCTGAAATTGAAACTGATCAGCAGCTGATTCCAGGAAGCCCGGGGCAGAGCAGCTCTGCCTCGGGCTTCCTGTAGTCAGCTGCTGGTCAGTTTCAACAGCGGCTGAATCTTGATGCCAGTTCCGACTTACATACAAATTCAACTTAAGAACAAACCTACAGTCCCTATCTTGTACGTAACCTGGGGCCTGCCTGTAGTTGGAGTTGGTATTTTTACTTATTTATGACCAGATTTTGATACTTCATGGGCTGTCCTACTGAAATGGAGTACTCCAAGAGTAAAATGCTACTCAGCAAGAGAAAGGGTGTCAGAATCTGGGCCATGTCTCGCACAGTGATGCTATACAGTGAACAAAATATGGGAGATATAGCAAAGCTCTTGCCTGGAAAAATGTACACTCTAAAAGCACAGTGTGGACAATGTTGGATGGTGATTGTTCTAGCTTGAATGCTTCACAGGAAAGCCTTTTGATGGGGGACACTTGGCATACATTAACTAAAGGCTCTTTCAAGGGCTGTGGGCAGTTTGAAAGAACACAGATTTAGGAAAATGTGAAAGAAACAAAGGGATCAGTCAAGAGAAACCAGCTCTTTTAAGGTTAGCAGGCATGTTTGCTTTTTTGAGATCTGTGGGTGAGTAGTCATCCATACACTGAAATCATGTTTTCAGGAGCCTAATTACTCTGTAATGGTTTTGCTAAAGAGATAAAACTATCAGAATACTCTGTGATGTTACATGCTAACAAGCATATTTGTTAAGATTGTAAACTACATGAATTCATTCTCCTAAAGAAAAGTCAAGATAAAACACTATTGTAAATGCTAAGCATTGTGCCTATTAGTCTTCCCTGTAAATACAGTCTGAGAAATACAAAACAGTTGTATTTTGGGCTTATCTTTTTTTTTTTTTACACGAAGACTTCTCTAATGATTTAACAAGAAATTGTCTTCAAAAAGAAATCCAGTTACTTTTATTTCTTTGAAAGTGACAATAGGAGTGATTTTGCTAAAATGTAGTTTTCCTTATCAGCACCGAACTGGGAGGAGACACCAGACAAGATGCAGAAACAGAATAAGCTGTCACTACAGACTTCACCAACTGAGTGTAGTTTGATAGAATACACACTAGATGACATTGAGATGGCTTTTAGGAAAAAGGTAAGGGAGTCCTTAACACGTCTGAATACTCTGAAATATGAAGAGGTTGAGCCATACGTCACACAGAAAAGAGATTACACAGAAAGATTTGGAGTTCAAGATACCAATTAGTAATTTCACTAGAAAATTCCAGTGTGCAAGATGTGTATTGTTTTTTAAAAAGCCCTTAATAAGTAGCAGTTTTATGTTTCATTGCACTTTCTAAAGGTTTCATACATTGTCAGGTTCATAACTTTACAAATGTATATAAATACCTAGGGCAGCACCAAATTGTATAGGCTAAAACAAAATACAAATATTGAAACTCAATGGCTCAGGCAAATTATATGTGAATCTGTCCCTTCTCACAGCTACCAGTATATGACTTGCCTGAATCCAACCCACCTCCGTAATGAATAAAATTGCCATAATTTGGCAATTAATTTTATGAACGACATGAAATAAGCTAGTGCTTAGTGGCCAAAGTGCTATTGCTAGTTCAATATGTATGGAACTTATAAATGGCACCCATACGAATACAGGAGTTAAGGGCTTAATGGGTATGGAGAAGGAATTAACTCTTTATTCCTTGAGGGGATCCTTTCAGAGCAAGGTGGAAGGACAACATGGAGGATCGTGCACTGCTACTTCCATGCATATGTTTAACCTATGTTGTAGACAGAGGAATAGAATCCAAATCTCCTGACTTTCAGTTCTGTCCTTTTACCTCAAGAACCTACCTCTTCTCTCAGGGTATGTCTATACTACCCCGCTAGTTCGAACTAGCGGGGGTAATGTAGTCATCCGCAGTTGCAAATGAAGCCCGGGATTTGAATTTCCCGGGCTTCATTTTTAAATGCCGGCTAGTTCAGACTCCGTGCCGTGCGGCTACACGCGGCACGGACTAGCTAGTTTGGATTAGGCTTCCACCTACGTGGAACGAGGTGTACAGCTAGTTCGGATTAGAAGCCTAATCTGAACTAGCTAGTCCGTGCCGCGTGTAGCCGCACGGCACGGAGTCTGAACTAGCCGGCATTTAAAAATGAAGCCCGGGAAATTCAAATCCCGGGCTTCATTTGCAACTGCGGATGACTACATTACCCCCGCTAGTTCGAACTAGCGGGGTAGTATAGACATACCCTGAGAGAAGAGGTAGGTTCTTGAGGTAAAAGGACAGAACTGAAAGTCAGGAGATTTGGATTCTATTCCTCTGTCTACAACATAGGTTAAACATATGCATGGAAGTAGCAGTGCACGATCCTCCATGTTGTCCTTCCACCTTGCTCTGAAAGGATCCCCTCAAGGAATAAAGAGTTAATTCCTTCTCCATACCCATTAAGCCCTTAACTCCTGTATTCGTATGGGTGCCATTTATAAGTTCCATACATATTGAACTAGCAATAGCACTTTGGCCACTAAGCACTAGCTTATTTCATGTCGTTCATAAAATTAATTGCCAAATTATGGCAATTTTATTCATTACGGAGGTGGGTTGGATTCAGGCAAGTCATATACTGGTAGCTGTGAGAAGGGACAGATTCACATATAATTTGCCTGAGCCATTGAGTTTCAATATTTGTATTTTGTTTTAGCCTATACAATTTGGTGCTGCCCTAGGTATTTATATACATTTGTAAAGTTATGAACCTGACAATGTATGAAACCTTTAGAAAGTGCAATGAAACATAAAACTGCTACTTATTAAGGGCTTTTTAAAAAACAATACACATCTTGCACACTGGAATTTTCTAGTGAAATTACTAATTGGTATCTTGAACTCCAAATCTTTCTGTGTAATCTCTTTTCTGTGTGACGTATGGCTCAACCTCTTCATATTTCAGAGTATTCAGACGTGTTAAGGACTCCCTTACCTTTTTCCTAAAAGCCATCTCAATGTCATCTAGTGTGTATTCTATCAAACTACACTCAGTTGGTGAAGTCTGTAGTGACAGCTTATTCTGTTTCTGCATCTTGTCTGGTGTCTCCTCCCAGTTCGGTGCTGATAAGGAAAACTACATTTTAGCAAAATCACTCCTATTGTCACTTTCAAAGAAATAAAAGTAACTGGATTTCTTTTTGAAGACAATTTCTTGTTAAATCATTAGAGAAGTCTTCGTGTAAAAAAAAAAAAAGATAAGCCCAAAATACAACTGTTTTGTATTTCTCAGACTGTATTTACAGGGAAGACTAATAGGCACAATGCTTAGCATTTACAATAGTGTTTTATCTTGACTTTTCTTTAGGAGAATGAATTCATGTAGTTTACAATCTTAACAAATATGCTTGTTAGCATGTAACATCACAGAGTATTCTGATAGTTTTATCTCTTTAGCAAAACCATTACAGAGTAATTAGGCTCCTGAAAACATGATTTCAGTGTATGGATGACTACTCACCCACAGATCTCAAAAAAGCAAACATGCCTGCTAACCTTAAAAGAGCTGGTTTCTCTTGACTGATCCCTTTGTTTCTTTCACATTTTCCTAAATCTGTGTTCTTTCAAACTGCCCACAGCCCTTGAAAGAGCCTTTAGTTAATGTATGCCAAGTGTCCCCCATCAAAAGGCTTTCCTGTGAAGCATTCAAGCTAGAACAATCACCATCCAACATTGTCCACACTGTGCTTTTAGAGTGTACATTTTTCCAGGCAAGAGCTTTGCTATATCTCCCATATTTTGTTCACTGTATAGCATCACTGTGCGAGACATGGCCCAGATTCTGACACCCTTTCTCTTGCTGAGTAGCATTTTACTCTTGGAGTACTCCATTTCAGTAGGACAGCCCATGAAGTATCAAAATCTGGTCATAAATAAGTAAAAATACCAACTCCAACTACAGGCAGGCCCCAGGTTACGTACAAGATAGGGACTGTAGGTTTGTTCTTAAGTTGAATTTGTATGTAAGTCGGAACTGGCATCAAGATTCAGCCGCTGTTGAAACTGACCAGCAGCTGACTACAGGAAGCCCGAGGCAGAGCTGCTCTGCCCCGGGCTTCCTGGAATCAGCTGCTGATCAGTTTCAACAG